CTGAAAAACCATCTGAAAGCAATGATTCGTCTTACTTGCAACTGGTTCATCCAGAACCAACTTCCCACCAGGTTTCAGCACTTTGACCATTTCAGCTAAGCAGTCTGAACTGTGGATGGAGGAGCTGTCGGCCAGAAGAGACGACAGCACCCAGTCAAAGGAAGAAGCTGTGTGGGAGGCTGTGACAAAGACAGGAAAAAGAGAAACTACTGTAAGACTATTAATGCTTAATATATGTCAGTTCCTTACTTAAAATTCTAAATAACTGTAGGATAAATGTTACTTTAAAAACTTACCATTAACTCTATATGTTGTGAAATTAAGAATAATTTTAAGTAACATTAAAATCCGTGTTTCACCAACTAAATTAGATTGTTTGATTAAATCGGAGGGAATTGAACTCACAAAGTGACAGCCTCTCCATGTTCTCCACGGACACTTTTCCGTCAGCGCCCACAGCTGCCCCCAGTTCCTCAGCATATTGTTTCAAGGCTTCTGGTGTCGACGGCTGAGCCCACACCAGCAACACTCTTTCTCCTGCTTTGATGCCAAGGTCTGCCATGATTTCCTGGTAAAAAGATTAGGGAAAGTTGTTTCCAGTTTAAAATCAATTGAGAAGTTGACTGCTCATTAAATCAGTGCAATGGAAACAAAAAGCAATTAGGGTAAATTCCAGAAAACAATCATTACATTTAGGGCTTAATCTCAACAAGCACCAGATTGGGTTTTATTTGAAAAAAAGAAACATCACTGCTGGTGGTCCTGAGGTCTTTTATTCTTTCCAGCTGCACTTTTAATTATAACGTTCAGGCAACAGAGAAAATTGCAGCCAGTATTTATATAGCAGCAACGCAAATGCTGGGAGAGTTAAATAACAGCTTACTGTCCTGATCCTCAGTCTGTCAACAAAGCAATTCAACGTCACCCATCAATTTTACATCACACAGGTCTTCAGGTTCAGACCAAACTCCCATGGAGAAAAACGACAAGGGCTTCCCATAATATCAGATAATTGAATCAGTTTAAACATATTTTCTATCTCTCTGCTTCTCGGACTTTGGTCAGAAGATTTTCAGTGACCCTTCAAAAAAAAGGCCAGATCTAAATCAGGATCTTATTTGGCTCTGGGTTCATTTTCAGATTTCTGAGCATCAATCTGATAAAAACCCTTTGTCCTATTTTTGTTTAAGAAATTACATTTTCTAATTACATAAAAAAGCTGAAGTGTGTACATTTTTTTAAACTGCTCTCAGCTTGCATATTTAACATAAAAATGTACTTTGGAAACTCTGCTGTCCTCTTTCCAAAAGTAATGAAATATATTTCTTAAAGTACATATAAAAGTAGATTTAATTTTTCTTCCCCACACCTATTCAGATCATAATAACGCTGACGAAAAAACCTGTTTTTAACACTATAGAAATCCTTATGTCTCCTTATATTTTCCTAAAAAAATAAATAACATTTTAATTAGTTATTTACTTCTTCGTTAATGTTTAAACAATTCACTTCTACTGCTATGTATTAATTTCATAATTCCATACAATTTATCAGCAACCTTAGTACGAGTAGACAGACGATAGTAAAAACACTTAGGCCTATATAAGAAAAAAAAAAAATACTGTAAAGTTAAAAAAAAAACAGAATATTGATGTAAGAGGGGTATCTAAGGAAAAAAAGTCCAGTTAAATACAGTGGATATGGAGGTCCAATTAGAAACAAATGCATCAGTTTAAAATAACGTCTCAATATTATCAAGTTATATAAACCCTTAACCTTAAAGCCTTAATTTAATCCAGACTTGTATAAGTCAGATCTTCATCGACCTGCGCTGACAGACTATCTAAAATGTTCTGTTAAACTATATGCTATGAAACAAATCTATTACTTAAAGATCAGACTATATGGAAAATGGGTTTAGTACCAATAATGATAAAACTAACTTATCAAAAGTAAGAAATCTTCGTCACAGTGACGCAGTTTGTAACCGTTAGTGACACTTTTTAGGGTTTAACGCGCTATTCACGCACTAAGAGCCTGGTTCTACGTTATAAACATGAAAAAAAATGTATTAACTTTTTAATTACAGATGAAAAACCCCACTAAGTACTATAATTACCACACTAAAAAATAAAATAAAATGATTTTCCTCAATGACTCACCTGCTCTCCTGACTGCAGTTACAAAAAAATGTCGCTTGAGTAAACCGATAATAAGTGTTTCCTGTCTTAAATTTTCAAAATACATGTATTTTTAAAAGGTCTCTTTTGTAGTATTTAATGTAAGCAAAGATATTGTAGTCTTATATGATTAATATTTAATTAAAAGTTATCTATTGCGCAAAATAGCTTCTAATATGAAGCAGATAGTGAAATATTAGTTTAAATTAATTTGTTTATTTGTGGTGTAGTTTTATTTTGAAAACCCAACTTCCGTTTTATGATCGCTGTCGCGGTAAAATGACGTAGCTGTGAACCTCCCAGTTGTGCAGCTTGTTATGGCGGCGCTTCTGAGAGGACTGCGGGCTGGAAGGCTCCTCCGCGGGCTGTCCGGCGGTAAGACAGGCTTAGTGCTTCCCTCTCGCTTTGATTCAACGCTGAACAGCCGACAGAACAAAAACACACCTACATATCTCAATGTTTTAGTTTGATATTTGGGGAATAAACCAGAGCTGACGTTAGCTACCCGAAGGTGATCATGAAGGACAGTAAACAACTTACATTACGGGTCTCAAACTACCAGTAGTTTTATTGGAGCATAAAAGTTGTATTTAAATCAATAAAATCAACCATATGTCATTATTTTATTGAATTAGTCTCTATAGTTTCTGCAAGCAGGATTATATAAGCCGGCTATTTATAGCTACGTTTACTTTATTTGTTTTTACTTCAGAACAAGATCTGCTCAGCATGGAGTCACAGATATAAACATTAATATATCGGTATTCATAATTGAGTTCAGTTCGGTCTATTTGTTTAGCTTAAGTTTAAAACAATAGGGGACCATGCGGAAATGTAAATAAACCTACAGTGTCTATCTTAAATATTCACCCCCTTGGATGTTTCACCATTTTATTGCTTTCATAAAACAGTCATGGAATTTAAATTTGGCTTCTTTTTTTTCTCCACACAATTTTTTTTTTTTTTTTTTTTACAAAAATACAACTTTTATTTGATTTATGTAAACTAATTTCAATGAATAAACAATGTGTAAAGAAATATAATTGTTTAAATAATTATTAACCCCCTTCTAAAGTGAATGGTCTAATTCCTTTTTTTCCCAGTCTTTTATTGTCATTACATTGTAACAAGTACAGAGCAAAGAGATTAAATCTCTGCATTTAA